GTACGTGTTTGTACCTAGAAATAGCTAGTCGTCTATTTTAGCATCTGACCTACTTCTGTCTTTGCAATAATGTAACAAAAATGGAAATAAGACAAACAAGAAATCACAAACCTTGTGTCATCTTCTCCTGAGTACCATGGCAATAAATATGTGGAGACTTTTCTTTCCACAATTATACTCCAGTTATGCAACTAAAGAAATAGGCCTAGCAAGTTGAGTGATTTTCTCGGGCTTATGAATATAACAGAAGCATGAAAAGGCTTTTAAAATTATCAAAGTATTGATAATTTTATATAGAAAATATAAATATGGAAATACATATTTCCTTTACAATATTATTATAACATGATAAGAACATTTATGGTAAATGGAAACGTAACAGACAAGAAAAAAAAACGTATACGAAACTAATCTATTGACTATACTTATTCCATAGATTTTTTATTTGATTCAAGCATTAATAAAAATTATATCAATGTATATAGCAAGAACCAAAAAAACGTATCTCAAACTCGGTCAACTTCGTAACATCTGCGTTGTTTCTGTAAAAAAAGAAAAATAGCACTAAGTTATACAGTAATATAGTAGCAATAACAAACTTTAATACTAATAAAAATAATTGTTAATAAACTAATGTTACAGTAATTTAAATAACAAATTGGCTGGTTTTTCCAGATACAAATGTAAAAAAAAAATAATATAATAATAATAATAATAATAATAATAATAATAATATATAACATCATATCATATTTTAGTATTTATTTCATTTGCTGTATTTGTTATGTAGTAGAAAGCGTAAGATTCATAACAAAACGAAAATAAAAACAATAACAAACTTTAATAGTAATAAAAATAATTGTTAATAAACTAATGTTACAGTAATTTAAATGACAAATTGGCTGGTTTTTCCAGATACAATGTAAATAAATAAAACAAATAATATAATAATAATATTAATAATAATAATAATATATAACATCATATCAAATTAATTTAGTATTTATTTTATTTGCTGTATTTGTTATGTAGTAGAAAGCGTAGGATTCATAACAAAACGAAAATAAAAACCGTCCGATAATATTAATTGATAGTTTAGTAATAATAGTATTAATTTTATTTGCTTTTAAGTAGCCTGTTGTTACTTATTAGAAAAAAAGTATGATAAACCAATTGACGAACTTGCAATGATAATTAGGCCTAGTTATATTAAATTTAGCGTTTCGAAACTCCATTGGCGTTCCATATATTTGTTGAAAGCAAACCGCGACCGAAATGAAGCGCGACCGAAACGAAGCGCGACCGAAATGATCTGTATTCGAACTAACAGGAGTTACTAAAGAACTAACAAGAATTACTAAGGGAGAACTAACAGAAGCTACTAAGGGAGAAATAACAGGAGCTACTACTGGCGGAGGGGCTTTAGAAACCAAGGAAAGCCCATGACATTAAACTAAGCGAGTCACGAATCTTATAAATGAAAGGTAACTTATAAAACCTTGTATAAATGACACAAATACTAAATTGATGTTATCTTAAAAAATATATTATAGTTTAATACATAGGACTACATACATACACCAGACCTATTGTGAGATGGAACAGTACCACTTACAGTTTTGAACAGATCAACGCTTAATCAGCAATAATAGGCCTACTATTATATAACCTCTATATAGAAACCAGTGAGAAAACAGAAAAAAGAATATTATATTTTGTTCCATTTATTAAAGGTGTATTGTCCCTTAATTGCTAGTGTAAAAAATTAATAAAAATTAATTTTGAAATCAACTTGCTCATTTTTCAATAACATACAAATTATTAACTTCTGCATAGAAATTATTGAATTTAAAAAATGTGTACCCTAATTTTTTAAACCAGAAAAATATTATAAAAGTAATAAAACACATCCCCAGTAACTGGAAGTGTTTCTATCATTTTTCACTGTAAACTGATGGGTAGACATTTTTTAAATACACTAATTGCTATGTTTTATGTCACTTCAAAATGGCAAGTTAATTTCAAAAAAATATTTTTATAATTTTTTGGTATTTAACATCATAAGACAATACATCTTTAAACAAAATGAACATAATGTATTATGGATAGTGATTTATGCCTGTTACCTATGACCTTTACGGTAAAAGAACATGAAGTGTTGGTATTTCCTGAGCCGTCCGTCGCAGTAACTGATACAAGGTGGTTTCCAATCTCTAACAAGTCCTGTTGCTGAATATTTGTTGTGATAATTGGTGGTACACCTGAGTTATCGGTTGCTTTAGGAGGAGTCCAAGCGGCAGCAGCAGTATTGATTGTCAGCAGCTGCATATCTGGTGGGCAAAATGTTATCATTGGTGCTACATTATCTGCAGGAGATAGGATACACGGTAATTTTAGTGACATGCATCGTAATTTTTAAGTAAATAAATACAGACCATCACCAATTAAAGGCCACCGTTCCGCGGCCCCAGTTGAATTCGTATCCTTTATCATTAGCTGTTCCCTCAAATTAAAGACTCCCTCCATTTTGGGTAGTACTAAAGTGCGAGGCAGCGAGGCATGCGAGGCAGCGAGGCAAAACGACGATTCATGCGAGGCATCGTTTTACCATCCCCAAAAGTGCGAGGCATAACAACGATTCATGCGAGGCATCGTTTTACATCGAAATATGTGCAGAGAACAACGAAAATCCAATGTAAAAGTAATATTACGTACTATTTAATAATTATGCGTGATAGTCATTGTCAAATTTGCTACTTAATTTGATTTGCAACCACAGTGGATTTATTTTTCTCCGCCTAGGCTTAGGCTATATAGTCAGTAACATCGCTGATCACAGGGGGGGATCCAGGATCTGCTGCATTCCCATCAAAGATCTTATAAACACAAGATAGCGTTCTCCGCGATTTACGCGTAACAAATAGAAGCGTCGGTCAAGGGTCAAAAGTTTCCAATTTAGCAAGAGGGAATCCATGTATGGACATGATTATTTAAGGCTTTGTTCCCAGCTAATATTTTAAGGCTTTGTCTGCACTCAAATTTTACGTGACAAATTTGTGTCATGTATCCAGGTACGGACATGATTATGTGATAATAACAACCAAATATCGGAATGTGTCTATCACATTTATTTGTCACATAACATTTGATAGTGTGTACGGAGCTTTAGGTTTCAATTTGATGTATGCAACACTTTTTGTAGAACAATAAATATGTAGGCCCATCTAAAGTAAATTTGCAATTAAAATAACACTGTAAAGTTCCTGCTAACCGCAAACAACATTCGCGAAAGTTATAATAACGTGTTGGTGTTTTCCCTGTTTAATTCATGCAGTCTACTTTCGTTCTTTCTTTTCTGTTATCTGCCTTTATCCCTTGTATACTGTTTCTTCATTCTTTCTGAGCACTCCCTCAATATGATGCATTGAGACTTGCAAAATGCGCCTTATAAGTCGGTAACATTGCAACGTTGCGGCTATACCCTATACAGTATACCTAAAACAACATTCGAGAACGTTACAATGACGTGTCGTGCTTCTTTTCTTTTTTTTTTGTGGGGGGGGGGGGGGTGGGAAACAAAATTTCCATGAAATTAAATTACCACTAAAAAAACAAAGGTTTTATCTCTATCTCCCCACTTTCGACAACATTAAAGCATAGCTTACTTGTAGCATAATATATTGCCACATGAAAGCGTGTGGTACAATGCCAACGGTACTGAAGGGTACTTTTATACATCACATTAGGTACAGTACTCCATCGCAGAACTACTTTTAATATGCAATAATTTCTTTCACATACAAAGTCAACTTACCTACATCACATTGAGTACCCTCCCATCCGCTGTTACATGTGCAGTTAAAGAAATTCAGATGGTTGTTACACACACCGTTAACACATTTGTTGCTCCCGCATTCACTGGTGTCTAGAAACAAACAAAACAAGTCAGCAAGCAATAAAGGTTTGAAATAAGATTTTGATGTATTATGTTCATTTTATTTTATATAAATTCTTAGATTTATTATTGTCATTCATGTTATTCTTACCAATTTCGCAGTTACCATTAGCCGAACCAGCATTACAGTACATTCGTACCGTTGTCGATACAAACAGCTAAATGTTGACATGGGTTATTCTCTACGTATTAACATTTATTAGGTAGATAACCTTTTTTACATAATTAAAGAGCAGCACCATTTACACCATAATATATAATAGGCTAGAGGGGGGGGGGTCACCGTACACCCCCACCCCCACAGTTAAACTTACTTGGTATCATTTTGTTCCTACGGGCATATAGAACAAAAAAAATTGATGTTAACAAGAAAAATATAGGGATGCATTGTATGTACTCGCGTCATTTGTAATGGTCGTTAGTGTTTTATAGTGGTCAATACTTGGGGGGGGGGGTAACATTTATGCCCATAACCTGTGATTTCAAAATCCCATTAATATTATTTTGGTAGCAATGTGTAGCATATATGTTTTTTAATCATATGCTGTTTAAATGAAATGTTATGGTTATTATTAACGTCACTAGAAGTCAAAAGGTCATTGACCTTTTTATAAAATGCAAATTTTTGCATAAAATATCAATAAACTTCAGTGTCATATGTCTAATTTTGGATGTATTTGATACAAATTGTGTTTTTCGTGTAGATATTGACATATGGAATACAAAAAGTGAGGTTAACAAGAAAAAAATTAAAATGCATTATGTACTATTGTTATTGTTTATGATCCGAGAAATTTGTAATCAACAACAATTTTTGAGGTAGGGGGTAACATTTATGCTCATAACTCTTGAATTAGTCAATGGATTTGTATGAAGTTGGTATCAAAATTTAGCTTATAGATTGGTCAGCCATTCAAATTGTAAAAGCTTTGAAACAGGCAGAAAATAACGTAACTAGAGGTGAAAAGGTCGTTTACCTCCACAAAAAAGTTGTAAATTTATTCCCAATTCAAACGTTTACAAATCTGCAGTTGTGAGTAGATTTGATACTAATTAGTATTTTCAATTAGAAATAAGCATATGGAATACAAAAAATGATATTAACAAGAAAAATGTATAAATTGATTAAATGTACTACTGTCATTGTGTTATAATCTTATAATTTGTAATCAACAACAGTTTTTGGGGTAGGGGGTAACATTAAATGCTCATAACTCTTGAACAAAGATTGGTTAATGATATAAGTTAATGATGCACATATTTCAATTATGATTAATTTGAGCATTTTTGTTGATAATCAATCTATTCCTCAAATGGACTATTTTTTAAAAAATCGATCAATGGTCTCTAGCATTGTGTTATTTGAAATCTCATTAAAATTAGCAGTCTCAGAAGTTGGATTTCTTAAATAGCACTTTAATGACTGACAGTCCTGACATTACATACCTGAGATGAAAATTCTGTACCAAGGCAAAATGAGTTGAACTTGTCTGCAATTTTAATTTGGTTGCACATTAGTTTAGGCCTATTATCAATTTTAAAGAATTTAAGAAACTCTTTCCACTATTTTTATTTACACTTACTTCATGGTTGACCACGCCATTTTTACATCATTTGTAAACATTTCAAAGCATGAAAACATAAATGGTTTACAAGTTATTACGGCGTACTGTGATATCAGGATAAAAGTGCTCCTGGATGACAAATTGACGAATTGCGAGCCTTTCAGATTGAATTTTTGATTCCAGACAAGTTATCAATAACCATAAAAATTAAATATGCATATAATAGGTCAAATCCATTCACCTTGTATTTCAATCTGTGACAACGAGCAATAAATATTGTGGCAATCCATAAAGGTGTACTCGCAGCCGCTGAGGAGTGCCCTTTCAACTGTATTTCCATGCAGCGGGCGAGAACTCGGGCCAGCTCACGCTTTCAATGTCGTCGAGGATGTAGATGGGGGCCATTAAGCAACATCACTCAACTAATTTCTTCATTAGTTTTGGCCGTAAAAATTACATATTACATAGTTAGAAATTGATTGTAATTTTGCTCTATTAGGGCCCTCCATTGTAGGTTAGAAGCGTCTGACTAGTTGCTATCTGTATTATGAGCCAATAATATAACTATATATTTCCAACTCACAAATGTAACTATTTACAACTCCTGCTATTTAATACCGGTGGTGCCATGCATATCGTGTCGGAAAATCGGGTGCAATAGTCTTCAGATATAAATGCATGTTTTTTGGTGCATGCTGGTGTATGGGTTGGTGTTGCACATGTATATAAGCCTATTCTTGTTTTACAGTAGGCGAATTTAGCTAGTATTATTATTATTGCTCTTTCCAATTCTAAAATGCATAATAATTGGAACATTGTCGTCCATTAAGATGATTTCCTGATCTTGATGTTTTTTCTTGAATTGATTCAGTCTGTTTTTCACTTTTGTCTTATATTTATATGTATTTGTATTGGTTTAACTGTTGTTCTTTGGTATGGACATGAAATTTCAAAATAAAAGATGAATGAATGAAATGAGTTATTATTATTATTATTATTATTATTATTATTATTATTATTATTATTATTTCTATTGTTATTGTATATTATTATTATTATTATTATTATATTATTATTATTATTATTATTATTATTATTATTATTATTATTATTATTATTATTATTATTATTATTATCTCCGCCAGAAGATATATGTGTTTTATCTCCGCCAGGAGATATATGTATTCGTTCATGTAAGTTTGTGTGTGTGTGTACAGTTTAACGCTTTGCTGTTTTAGTTATTTTGTCTGTGTTCGAAATACCTAAAAAATGGCTGCTGCGCATAGACATAAATGAAAATAACAAGGTGTGTTAGGTCGAACCCAAGGAAGAAATTATTAAATTTTGGTGACTGTCCGGAGTAGGCTGTGGATGTGTGGACCACTTAAAGGAATTTGTCCTAGACATGATATTTCAGAAAGTAATCAATTGATATGAATACAATTTTCATGGAAGTTTAACCAAGTTAAAAGGAAGAAATTATCAAGTGTTGGTCACGATCCAAATTCGGGGGTTAACTTGAGAGTCATTATAAATGTTAAAGTCTTATGTGCTTTTTTTGTGTTCAAAATATCTATAAAAAAAAAAAACAGCTGCACCGATCTAAATGCCAGAGACAGGGATTGTTATGATAATAACCCAAGGATGATGTGATTAAATTTTGGTGACTATTCGGCATAGGGTATGCATTATGAGGACCATTCAACTACATTTACCAGATATGTATAGCTGGCAATATTACACCCCTATTATACAACAACCAGCGGATCGACCGCATCGACTATATACAAAGTTATATGGCGCAACAGGGCGAGGGTTTGTAATATCAGATTATCTTGTTTACACATTGTATTTATAGGACAACATTTGTTGAGAGCTATGCTACACGATGTAGCATCATATCCTTTATTCAGACACTGTATGTACCTTTCTTGATGGCCTATATAATTTAACAGTGTTAACGGCTTTCTTGGTTTATGTTATATGTTAATATATTTTCAGCAGATTTATCTGGTTTACGGCCTCTAGAGGCGTACCAATGCGTAATACAATGTACCTGATGGTTATTTATTGACAGTGAGAGGTTGCATGTTCGAATCTCGTCTAATGCATTTTATTAGACAATGTATTTACAGGACAACATTCGTTGGGAGCTATGATATATGTATATCATTAAAGAAAGGTATATGTATGCATGCATGTATATGTGTATGGGGGTGGGTGTATGTCTGTAAAAAAGGTAAAGGTATAATGTATGTGTGTGCGTGGTAGTAGAATACAAATCTAATGGACACTGAATAATTATGATCTCATCGAAATAACTTCAACATCAAGAGCAATATACAGTGAGGTCGTATCTTATATTTAAATTTCCACTTACTTGAATTTATCGGAGCTGTTCGCACTTCGATGACCTCACTCCAGGGTCCCCTTCCTTTACTAGTATACGCGCGAACCTTAACAAAGTACAGCGTGTCGGGTTCGAGCCCAGTGTGTTCAATATTACTTGGGACCTTGATAGCACCGCTTTCAGCATCTTCCACTAGCTGCTTTATTTTAGAGAAGTATGACTCATATTTTGTAATTACTCCATTTGCCTCGCCATCAATCGGACGATTCCAAAACAGATAAATAGAGTTCTGTGTAACTTCGTATTGGATGTCAACCGGTGGACCAGTCGGAGCTTAAGTGAAACATACATAAGAGCAAATATATAAATATATGTTTTCACTTGAATTTGCAAAAGGGCTTTGAACTTGAATTTAGACAAGCAGTGATAACACATTTTCGAATATAAATAATACTACAATAACAGCGGGAGGCCTGCAGTAGATTTATGATGCTGTTTGTAATTTAGTTTGCAACTTTGGCGACACACCACTGGATTTGATTAATTGTTTTATCTAGTAAATTTTATTATGCATACATTGTTAACTATCATAAATGAGAAACATAAGCTTAAAATTAACATACAAGGGTGTACCTAACTAGCAAGCAAGCTTCACACTGATGATAGAAATTGGTTTCCGAAACATGTCTGAATTGTGATACTGATTATGAATTTGTGATACTGATGTCTGTAGACTCTGTAAGACGGAATAAATACCAATATGGGAGGAAGATTAAGTCTCTGTTCTCTCCATTAAATGTCTGTAGATAATAATTGCGCATATATAAATCTTCGCCCACAAATGTAATAATTTTCTTTAGGCCTACAGTCTGTCTCTTATACACATCTAGATGTGTATAAGAGACAGATATATACACAGCCAAATAGTGGAATACAAGCTATGTGGCTCGGTTCCAGTAGATACAGAGAATATTTTGTCATTCTTAACGCGTCCTACGAAATTCTTACGAGATAGCACTAGTCCGTGAATTTGTGAACAAGATCGGAGATCTGAAGATGCAATCTCTACCGTGCATCAATGGCGGCCTGCTGGATCTCAAAAGAGATTCTTTAATGAAATATAAATAAATTTTAAAAGGCAAATGGGAAAATTAAATTAAATTAAGAATGATACATATACTACTGGCACTTGGAATCACCACAACACATTCGTGGTCAATCTATAGCTTTTGTTTGGCTGTCCTGGCTTCGGTGATTCTTATTTTGAGCCTTTGTTCATTTCGTAATGATCCAATATTACAGAAACTAAATTACGTTAATTCTATTATCATTACAATTATTATTATTATTATTATTATTATTATTATTATTATTATTATTATTATTATTATTATTATTATTATTATTATTATCATTATTATTATTATTATTATTAGTAAAATTATTATTCTTAGTAGTACGGTGTTATTAAATCAAAGAACAAACCAGTTGATCTATCTTCTCTAGAATTAAGTATTAATAATGAGAAAATTCAACGATTAATTGTTGCTAATTTCCTGGGTATATACCCTGATGAGGCACTATCATTCAATTATTATATCAATATGATTGCTACAAGAGGTTCTTAATAAAATCAAATCCAGATTACCAAACCATCATTTTAATTATACACAACTATTTTATTACCAAACATCAGTTATGCTATTACTAACTTACTTTACTAAGTAGACTAAGGGGCAAAAAAGTATAATTTTTATAGTGGAGGATGAGTTTTTAATTCTTTTTCATTTTTTGTCAGATTTATCTCTTTCTAAATTATTCTTTTCATCAATTCATTACAGAAATTCAATAATTAAATGTAAGTTGAAACTGTAATCATTATGACACTAACATACTCAGTGGCTGTACTTACAGCTCTGTGGAGTTGTTATAGAAAATGAAGTTGGCTGTCCTGGCTTCGGTGATGACGTTGATGCGCTCACGTATATAATATAATCCGTGTGCCATCGTATTTTCAGCTTACAATATGTAAAACGGACTGTCTCCGTTTTCACTTCTTCTCCTCCTGTCACTCGAACTAATGTAACGTTGTAGGATTGTATTATACCATGTGGATTAGTAGGTTTCTCCCAGCTTACAGTTATGTATGGTTCAACCTCATCATTGTTGACAACTCGAAGATTTTTAACTGGACCAGAAGCTGTAACAATAATAACAATAATAATAATAATACTAATAATAATAATAATAATAATAATAATAATCATAATAATAATAATAATAATAATAAACATAAAAATAATAATAATAGTAATAATAATAATAATGAGAATAAAGATGATGATGATGATGATGATAAATAATAAATTTGATATTAGATTTTATTATTATTATTACGGCTTCTTTCTTATTTTGAGCCTTTGTTCATTTCGTAATGATCCAATATTACAGAAACTTAATTACGTTAATTCTATTATCATTACAATTATTATTATTATTATTATTATTATTATTATTATTATTATTATTATTATTATTATTATTATTATTAGTAAAATTATTATTCTTAGTAGTACGGTGTTATTAAATCAAAGAACAAACCAGTTGATCTATCTTCTCTAGAATTAAATATTAATAATGAGAAAATTCAACGATTAATTGTTGCTAATTTCCTGGGTATATACCCTGATGAGGCACTATCATTCAATTATTATATCAATATGATTGCTACAAAAAGTTCTTAATAAAATTAAATCCAGATTACCAAACCATCATGTTAATTATACACAACTATTATATTACCAAACATCAGTTATGCTATTACTAACTTACTTTACTAAGTAGACTAAGGGGCAAAAAAGTATAAGTTTCCATGAAACAAGAACATGGAACCATCTTTCAAATAGTCTAAAAATGCTCGTAGCTTAAGTATTTTCAAGCATGACTTGCACATTCAGCTTATTGAAAATATAAAACAAAATTGAAATTATTTAATCTTTTACTCTAACTAAGTATCAATGTCTTATTTATCACGTAAATAATAATCTTCCGCCCCCGAAAAACTCAGAAATACGTCCGGAGGGGGATACAGAAGTGTCCGGAGGGGGATAGTTTTACCTTTAGATGACTAGAAGATTAGATTACTTTTAGTTTAACATTTCAATTGTACTATTAATTGTTTTCAGGCCCTAAAACATTGACTCAGGAATACAGAGATGGTGTCTGGCGGCGGATAGTTTTACCTTTAGATGACTAGAAGATAGATTACTTCTAGTTTAAAATTTCACTTGTACTATCAATCGTTTTCAGGCCCTAAAACATTGACTCAGGAATACAGGGATGGTGTCTGGCGGTGGATAGTTTTACCTCCAAAGTTTTCTTGATTATAGTTTGTTTTTTTTTTGTTTGTTAAGAATTAATTATCTTATTATTTAAATGGGTTACATAAAAACCTTTGCTTCCAATATTCCTTCCTCATTTATTGTTTTGGGCATACTTTAAATTTTCTATTGTAACCAAACATGTGAGTATGAATGTGACTTCGTGAAATAAGCTGAAATCGAAAATCAATCAATAATAACGTTTATACAACTGTAATAATAGGTTAATTATAACAGCGCCATCTGGGCCTATCATGGAGTTGAAAAGTTCTATTTTACGTACCCCGGTACTTTAATTTAACAATTCATTTCTCAAAATAAACGAATTTATCCATGCTCTATGAACTGCTATTAATTATAATACTATTCATTTATTTAATTTTAAAAAAATCTGATTTTATTTCCTAGGCAAGGTAAACACAACTTACGACCCTGAGAAACGCGTATGTCGTACGTCCGAGAAGCACTGCCCTCTAAGTAGCAATTGAGTGCTGTAACTTTAACGAGGTAAAGCTCATACGGCACTAAGCCTGTAATGTTTACTTCCAAGATATTTGGGTGGTCCACATGAAGGGTATTGTTATTTTCTTGGTCTCTGGACAGTGCATAAGTAACATAAAACCCATCATAGTCTGGAGGCTCAGTTGGTGACGTCATCTAAAAACAAATTAAACCAATAAAATGTTTGTATAATTAGAAAGGACAGATTCGGAGCCAACTTGAATTTGGACAATGACCTTTTACACAATTGGCCTATATGTGGCATCCTATTTCTAGATTTACCTCCATAATGTAGAATAGTTCAAGATCAATCACTTTTGAGATTAAAACAATTTTTCGGATGCTAATATGTTTACATTATTTACAATTGGCTAAGAAGACAATTGTGAATATTTGTAATAAAAGTTGCAAATTTAAAAGGTTTCATTTTTAGGCCTATATAACTATTCAATATTATGATAGGCATACATATAATCAATTTCAAATATTACAATTATATATATAGTATGAATATTTGTACGTACAGTCCACTCTATATATATGGTATGTTCATCCGGGCTTCTTCTACTAACAATCCGTGGAACGTCTTTTGGAGCTAGGAATAATCAAAGGTTTTATTTAAACTAATAAAAGTCACATGTGATATGGTAATAATAATGCTACTCAAGCTATAGTGTTAATAATAACAATTAACATTAACGGTGATAATCAGTAAAATATACAACTACTACTTCTACTACTTATGGTGATGATGACGGTAATTATCATAAGCATAATGATGATGATCATCATCATCATAATTAAGGGTGATGATGATAATGATGATGTTGATTAAGGGTGATGATGATAATGATCGTGATGATGATGGTGATAATCATAATGATAATAATGATGATAATGATGATAATAGTGATGATGATGATTGCAATTTTAATGACAATAGCAATGATCATGATGTATCATTCTCGTCATTATCATCATCACCATCATCATCATCATCATCATCATCATCATCTTAATAATAATAATAAACTTAATAAACGTAATATTAATAATAGTGTTATAATAAAAGTAATACTTTAAATTGTGATATTGAATGTTACAGATATTTATCCTAATATTAAAATTAATGACGAAAGCTTACGATAACACTTAATTATGATAACTGTAGTTTCGCTGAAATTGCCGATCCCTCCGCCAGGACGTTCAAACTTTGTCTTGAACTCGTATGTCTGGTGTGGTGTGACAGAGGTCAATGTGAACCCGCCGACAACATCGGCAACGCTGATTCTCTCCTCAATCCAGTCACTTTCAGTTAATGTTTGTAGGCGGTAGAAAAGATAAACGGTTGTTACCGGTCCGTCTCCAGTATAATTTTGATAATGCAGGTCTAGTCGAAGAATTCTGTTTGAATTTTCTATCTCTTCTGGACCTATCGTAGGAGTAGGGGGATCTGTGGAAAAATTAATGAAATATTGGCAGTAGCAACAGCAGCAGTACTAGTAGTGGCATATCCAGGAGTGTTGAAATGGGGATGCTGATGAGGGTGCGAAGGTGAAGTGGGGCTCGATGATCAGTTGAGGGGCGCTAATTCGCAGAATAAGGTGGTTTTTCAAAAAAGAAAGGGGATCTGGGGGTCCTCCCCCGGGAAAATTGAGCTAGGTGTCTAATGACTTTGTTCTTCAAAATTCAAGGTTTCCCCCTCTTGAAAACGGTCAGGTAAACCTTCTCATTCTTATTGCAGTAAATAGGCCTGTTATGTGTGTATACAAAAAAAAATAGTAGTTCCATACGTATTCTTTTTTCAATTAATCGATAAGCTACAGAGAAAACTGGAGGGGGTCCCCGGTGAAAATTTTGATTCCTAAAAGGCGGGAAATGCATATTCCCGACTTCTGAGGTGTTTGTTTGTTTGTTTTTATTGGTTTCTCCACACACAACATAAATAGTACAATGTATTCAAACTTAACTAACATTACAAAAGTAGATAAGAAGAAAAAAATATATATATATATACATATATGTGCATATACATGCATAACTGTACAGTACAATATACACATACATATACACACATACATACATATATACTGTAAATTAGATATTAAATAAATAAGTAAGTGTGTGGATGGAGGCCAAAATAAGTTTATACAAACTTTAAGTTATGGCCACCAGTTAAAATTGAATAAATAAAATTGAACTTAATGACGTACAGATGATTACATATTTTAAATAATCACAGGCAGTCTGGTTTAACAAGAAATTTAATTTTGAAGACACACTGCACCATAAAATATTTGATACAGTATAATTTTGATCAGTCTCTTTATTCATGTGGGAGCAGTGTGTCACCAAAATCAAAATTACTAACAGGCAAATAGTATTAAATATTGAGAAAGAAACATACGTATACACATATACACACGCATACATATGAACACATACACACATATACACATACACACATACATACATATATATATATATATATATATATATATATATACATACAGTATATACACACATATACACATACACACATACATACACATACATGCGCACACATACATACATATACACACATGTACACATATACACGCACATGCACATACATGTAGTTTCAGCTGTAAAATTTGTAAATAATGATACAGGTAATAATAATAATAATAATAATAATAATAATAATAATAATAATAATAATAATAATAATAATGCATAAACATGAACAGAAGGCTTATCTGCCATATGCCGAGACCAAAGATTTTTTCAAGTTATGACATATGACTGACATATTTAAACTTTCTGTTTTTTTTGTTTTATTTTTGCAGTTGATAACAATCTTCCTACAAATCTTGAATTCTTTGTGTGCTTCGCATTTTCAACTTTGGGGTTTCTATTAGCTATTGCATTCATCTGGCCGTCAATCGTATGTGTCCTTGTGTTCTTGGTTGCAACGTATGTATATTATACAAGATTTTTCAGTCCAGGTTTCTTCAATGTTAAACGCTTAGAAAACACAACTTCATCGTTAGCTATTTCACATATAACAGCCACTGTACAAGGAAGTGCAACTATACAGGCGTACAACAAAACTGAACATTTTCAAAATACGTAAGCATAAGTTTCATTTATTTTTAAATTTTATTATTTATTCAGTATGAATTTGAGAAATAATTTCGTTTGTCATACCAAATCGATTCTAAAAATTAAACTCTATCTGCACTATCAATTTTGTTTGTCACAATTAACCGTGATATGCCCATATTTGGCTGCAATATGACATGACCATGCCCATGGGCACATCACATAGACATGTCACATAAGATTTGATAGGGTGTACACAGAGCATAAGGTTTATGAGCAGCTCGTTCTGCAATCTCAAGCATCGAAGTTCCATAAACACATAGGCCTAACCAAAACATAACTCGACGTACGAAGCTTTATAAAGAGTCTGAATTGGTTAGACCTATAGAGCATCAAGAAAATGGTGTGAAGAGATCATGCTAGTTAAACTGAACACGATATCTCCAACTTCTGCAGTAGTATACGTTTATTAAGCTTAGTAGATCCATAGTTACCAACCTGAGAGATTTTAAATGCGTGACTACATCAATTGGTTGGGGGTGAGGGACCGCAAGTGTTCATAGGCGGGGCCCCGGTGGGGGTCGGGTTTGAGTCACATAATCAACGGTTGGTTGTGACAATGAATGCGCAAGACTGCATGCGTCTCATTTTACTAATTGGTTGACTGAGTTATTTTGGTCGAAAAAGAGACATTTTCTCGATGAATTTATTCTTGAACGAGATAACGAAAGCTTTCTAATGAGTCTAATGAGTCAAGTTACTGCATGACTATTTTTATATTTTTTTAAAATAAAACCAGTGTCTTCTAATTATAAATATATTTTCCCCTAAATTCGTAATACTTTGTAACTATTCGTTATCACGCATAGACTTGTGCTAAATGCATGACAAATTATGATATTATGACAAAATGCGTGTATCATTCAAAATCACCACGAAACTTTTAACCGTCCCGCACGATGCGAGACGGTTGGTAACTATGATAGACCTGGTTAAAATAACATACCGGTATTCATAAAACATATAAACATTCATTCCCAGTGCAATAAGATTACACAACAGTAAATAACAAGATATTTTTTGAATGTTGTAGTGAGCAAGACTGTATAATTTCTGATTTATTATTTACATTTATTAATACAAACATCATATTATGTATAAAAAAAACCTCTTGAATATATGGAATAAATGTATTGAATTTTGCTGGAAGGAGTACAATCTTTTATGTAAATGGTAACTAATAGAACTTAAACGAAATTATAAATCATATTAAAGTGCTTAAAAAATAAACTTCCTTAAAACTAACCAGTTGGATTTCTTCGGTGTCAGATACACACCAAAGCCATAAGAATCATTTGCACTGTGGTGGATTGGCAATCCCTGCTCTTTTTCGAAGAGTGTACTGTGTTCTTTAGCGTGCATTTGAACTATTTTGCACACGGGACCAACGGCTTAAACGTCATATCCGATGGTGTGCGCTTTAGAAACTTGCATTTCAGCCCTCCAGCTAAAACACAAAGAGAGAGCAGCGATAGAAATTGAACCGGTGAGCAAGAGATCTACACGGCTCAGCGCACACACAGGGGCTATCACCAGTGGCGTATCTAGGGTAGGGCGCAAATGACTCCCCCCAGTCGCCCCTACCCCAAAAATCACCATATTTTGCGAACTAGCGCCCCTCTACTGATCATCGAGCCCCCCACCACCCTTCAACTTCGTGCCCACCCATCAGTGCCCCCCCCCCATTTCAGGACCTCTAGATACGCCACTGGCTACCACCAGTTTAGCCGACTGAGCTAGCTGCTTAGTATAACGGATAATTAGGTAATCCGGCCACTACACCGCTATCCAGCATTTTGAGGCATATGGCAACACGTAGTTAAGAACATTTTGAAAATGTTGTTTTAATTTTTTTATTTTTTTACTCGAAGGTTTGAAACATTGCTGACGAATAATTCTACAGCTCTGCATCTGAACGAGGCGGTATTGTTATGGGTGTGGATTCGACTTGATGTCCTTACGATCATCGGTCTACTTGCTTCAACACTTTATGGTGTATTCAACCAAGGGACGCTTTCGTCTCCAGTAACCGGGCTTCTAATCACATTGTCATACATAGTAAGGAAAATCATGGCGTCTATCGTACTCGCGCGAATAAGCGCCCGGGCGCTTAAAATATTTTTTGCACTTTCTGAGGGGCGCTTATTTAAACGGGGTGCTTATGAAAATAGAGTGGAATTTGAGGGGGGCGCTTATGGAAATAGATGAAAATCGAAGGGTTCTTATGGCAAATTATTAAATTCAAGAGGCATTTTTTGAACGAAACAAGATTATATAAGGACATTACGAATGGTGGTTAGGCGGAATAAATAATCGTCCAGAGAACATGGCTCATAACAAGAATGCGTGTATATTTACATAAAAGCAAAATAGCAAATGCAATTAGTGGTTGTGGGTAGTGGTTAGCTTGTTGGCCATCGGCCGATTGAGATCAGCAGGATGGCGAGATCATTGTATTTTGCATTTGAAAACTCAGATGAGAATGTGCTAAAGGTGCAAATTGTAGGAAAAGAAAAAAGAGGAGTAGGACTATTCATATAGACAAATTACTAAAAAGAGTAAAGTTGGAAATTTACTGTCTGTCCAGGGTTTGGAGCTCTCATCTGTCCAAGAGAAATCCTCATTTTGATATTGACCTAAGAAGAATGTGTTTCCACTCTGCAGCTCAATTATGCCAACAACCACAGTCCCAGGATTGATTGGATTATTGACTTGCTAAAAAGAAAATCTTATGATATTTCAAATGGGGCGCTTATTCGCGCGAGTACGGTATTTGTTTAATATAATAATGATAAAATAGTCACTGAATTCTGTATACAAACCATGATCTACCGTGTATCATAAAACGTGTAAAGCAGGCCACACATTGCACCGACCGTCAGTGTTCCATCTCTCCTCTATGATCTTTAGACGAAGCAACGGCGTCTGTATTGTCAGTAGCACTCTGAGCCAAGAGAGGCATAGATGGCTTTCATCGTCTTTTAAGATGATCTTGTGCCGCGATCAATCGTGTCGGTCGACGACAGCCGGCGCAATGTGTGCTCCGCTTAAGATTTTAATTGGTTAAATATTTTACTTAGAATTGCTTTATCGTACAGTATTTGATATATTTTTTTGCATCATTACCTGGCTTAGGTAACTACAGGACTGGCTATTTTGGTATTGAAGAACTATTTACAAATCTCCCTCCGATTGATATCAGTTGAAAGGGTAGAAGAGTATATTCGAGTAAGTGGTGGAGTTGATTTTGATTAATTTATTATTTTTCATCTTCCGATTTATGGAAATAGACTTAGTACTTTTCTATTACAAAGAATAATGCTTATTGGTTTCGTTTTGTCTGGCTTATTCAGTACAATATTAAACACACTGTTTAAATAATTTGATAATATAAATATTATTATTAGTATTATTATTATGAAATTCAGGATGTTGAGCCAGAGGAGACAATGAATATATACAACAATAAAGACGATTGGGTTGTTGATGGAAAAGTACAGTTCAATAATTACAGCATGAGGTACAGAAAAAACCTTCCAACAATTCTAAATGACGTCACCATAAAGATCAACGCGGGAGAAAAAGTTGGAATTGTTGGGAGAACAGGATCTGGTAAATGACACTTTTTTGCATTTTTATGTTGGTAGGCCTATTATTTATAGACATAGAACTATACAATAAACCGAATGATGTATTATATCGCAGTGGACTGAGAAGCTTGGGCCGTGCGACAAACGCTAGTTTCTATGTAAAGACTGGTTTTTTAAAATATATTTCCCTCACATCCAACAGCAAAGTACGCTCGCCTCTTGCAGGATAGAATGATGCTTTATAAACCAAGTATCTTATTAGGCCTAGGAGTGGAGGTGATTTAATCTTGAGACTGAGTCCTGCTGCGACAGGAATTGAACCCAGCATCCTAGGATTAGAAGGCAAACGTCTTAACCACAGGCAATTCCCCTCCACTCTATTTTCAAGGAGTAAGTCGCTTTATATATAAATAGTTGTACAGAGGACATTTGAGATTTGTCTGGATTGAAATCATTCTAGTAGAAATAGAATACCTACACTTTCATGCTATCCTTTCACTTTATTTTTTAGGAAAATCATCTCTTGGTGTTGCGATGTACCGCCTAGCTGAACGCGTAGAAGGCACAATTACAATAGATGATGTTGAGATTCATAATATCAAGCTGAACAAGTTACGCCAAAAACTTTCAATAATCCCCCAAGACCCGGTACTCTTTGCTGGCACAGTGAGGTATGGCATAGATACCGTAGGAACGCGTTTCTAGTGAAAAGTGCAACTAATAAAAACACGGTCATCCGAGCATTGGCGTGTGGGCTGAGCTTAAATGACGGTCACCAACGGAAGTTGAAGCTGACCTTACTTCTTGCGAGCCACGCATGCTGCGAAAAAAGTAAACAACACACCACGAAAGTATGAAAAAAGTATGATATGATCTCCAAGCATTTCATCCTATTGGTTTAATTTTTTTCTTCGCCCCGAATTTCCCGTGGACGAGCGATTAAACCAAAGAAGAGGTCAATTTGGGTCACCGATGGGTCATGACTAACACGGTATTGCGTTGCAGCTGAAAAGTGTACCATAAAACACGCGTATTCTGAACGCGAACCCTATAACGAATGCTTGTAAAAACACGCATTTTTAGAACGCATTCCTAACCGTGTTTTTGTTTTGGGGTCCGTTTCTACTGGGGAAAAAACACGTGCTTTTTAATAACCGTTTGAAAACACGTGTTTTTTTGTTCAGCAGAAACAGGCCCATACTAATAATCACAAATTTCATCTTTACTCTACATTTCACTCTTTGCTAACATCTCATCTGTTGTTATTATTGTTATTATGAAAATACGAATTACGATATGAACTTTATTATCTTTCATTATAAATAACAAAAGAAAAGCATCTTCAGTTGGCAAACGCAGACAAAAGACGTTAAAATGCAGAAGAAAATCTAAAAATTTCATATTGTTATTATCATTTTCAAAAACATCATATTATTATTATTATTATTATTATTATTATTATTATTATTATTGTTATTATTGTTTGTTGCTATTATTAATGTTATTGTTATTGTTATTATTATTATTATTATTTATATTATGATTATTATTATTGTTATCATTATTATTAGGCCTATTATTAATTGTTCAATATATATATATTTTTTTAAATTGACATTAAAGGTACAATCTTGATCCATTCAACGAATTCAGTGACGAGGATATCTGGAAAGCCTTGGAGAGGACACACGTCAAAGACTTGGTAAACCGTTGCTTTAACACTTCACTTAACAAGAAATCTCTACACACACCACAAACGCATGCACTGATAGGCCTATCATTAATTCCTGGCTTATTCTAAGCAGTAACTAATAATACGATTTCGCTTAAAGAGTTGAAGTCATTCATTTTTAAAACGAATTCATCCTTCAAAATCATTTGAAAAATTTTCTATTAGTTATTTTTATTATCACAATTTTGATTAGTACATATTTTTTGTTTTTCTCTAACAGATATTTACTTTGGGTGAACAGCTTGAGGCACCGGTTGTCGAAAATGGTGAAAACTTTTCCGTTGGAGAACGTCAGCTGATTTGCATGGCAAGAGCTCTGCTTCGTAAAAATAAGGTTCGTTGGAAATGAACTTGAGCACTTGAAAAGAGTTAATTTATTCCATGACTTAAATAATTCGATTAAAGTCTACTGACTAAGATGCTATATTGGCTTTAACGACCTTCATAAAGCAAGTTTTTACTTGCAAAAATATGGCGTAGGCCAAAACTTTTTTCTTTCTCCCTCTTAGAAAATTTGTTGTACCATTTTTCAAAAATTAATCGTTATCTTATTATAATGGATTAATTTAATAACACATGTAATACAATTCAAACCAAATGGTATTCCATGAGGAATATTCCCCAGCTAGAAATGATTTTTAATATTATTCTTCTTTTGGTGATATAGATACTGATATTAGATGAAGCCACGGCGGCTATTGACACGGAAACTGACAGTATGATCCAGCAAACGATCCGAGAATCGTTCTCAAATTGTACATTACTTATCATTGCACATAGACTGAATACCATTCTCGATTGTGATACCATATTGGTAATGGACGGCGGCCGGGTGAGTTTATTTGGACCTTTTCACTATACGCCACACCCTTTGCATATTGATGCTAAGATCTAACAAAACGACAGCGTAATTACGTAAACTTTCGGTTGTTAGATCCAGTGGCGGGGCCAGGATTCCCCCGACGGGGGTCCAAGGTCCCCGACGAGCAAAAATTGGGCGTCGCTAAAAACCCACTAAAAACCTTTCGAAATTGGTCCAGGGGAAAAAAACCCCCCAAAATATGACAATTTAGGGGTTTCAAAAGCTTATTTAATCGATTTTGGAGTCAGTTAGTAGGCCCTATGTAAAAAACACATATATTTTTTTCTCCCCGACGAATTATAGTTTTCTCCCCAACGGGGTGGGGAGGGGGTGGGCAAGATTCCCCGACGGTGGGGAAGGGGATTTGTCTCCCCCAGCCCCACGTAGCGCCGCCACTGCTTAGATCATGCGTGTATTTCTGACCCCGTTCTGATTGGTCATTTTGCTAAATTTAATACACTCCAATGTAATGTTCAATTAACAGCCAATTATCTATGTCCTACCTAAATATATACTGTAAAACTTACAAGTCTGTATGACCAACGAGCATTTAGCTTTTGTAGAAATAAAATAAATCTATGTATATCAGAAAATATTTACTAAAAACGGGAGAATTCCGATTGGGCCATTAAAATATAACTCCACCCTGATCAGACTTCAGTATATACTTACAGTCCGTCGTCGAATATCCATAGAGAAAATATAGTTTATTTTCTTTATGGGCTACCTAACTTGAAGTACACAGGTGGGCGAAAAATAAACAATCGAATAAGGCTCAAATGCATTTAAAACATTATTATGAAAATGATCTCTTTGATACTAACCACTTTACTTATGTTTTTGTTCAATTTAGGTTGCTGAAATGGACCGTCCCGAAGTCCTTCTTGCAGACGAGGACTCTGTTTTAAACAAGATGAAAAAAACATATTTTTCTACAAAATAAATAATGAAAGCTAAGGAACCTGTCGATTAAAATAGTTAAATAGTCTTGTTTAATATGGAATTTATTTAATTTTAAGTAATTATACAGTAACTGTTACCAGAAGGCATTCACATTTGATGGGCTAATATGTATGCCTAACCTTATTTATTTGTATCAATTTGATAGTTATCTAAACTTTAAATATATTATTGTTGTTATTTATAATGAAGAACAAAAACAGATTTATTGGAAAGTGTATAAGTGAAAACAATACCATCAGGGGAAGAATTATGGGGGGGGGGGTGACAGGCCGGCCCCGCTCCCTCCCCGCCTCCCATTGGAAAGTAATAAAAAAAAGAAAAAGAAAAAATTGATTGCCCAAAAACGCTTGAACATCTGTTGGATTCGCCATTGACCATGTCCAGAAATCCGTACAGATCTTGATCAATTAAATCAATATTAGAATCTCCTATTACGAAATGTGGAAAATATATCCATAGAATGCACACTATGTATCTCTATAACGGATAATTTTATATTATTTTTTGAGCACATTCCTGAATTCATTATTCATTAAAAAATTGCACACACAGTGAGGCACTGAATGGCGTAATTTTGTTTCAAAAAAGTATGTTAAGAGGTCTCTTAACAACTCCTTATTTTTTTAAAACTTATACCTATATTATCAATCCTAACAATAACTTTAAGAAAATTATTCATATGGTGGTTTAATGGATTGGTTTCAATTTAGTGGGTATAGGAATAGCAACAGCATCACCGGCTAGAAAGTAGTAAAGTTTCACTCTTGTTCCTCTCACTAGGCCTAAACTTTCCATTTTATAACGATCGGAACGGAAATGTTTTTCTATGCTTCTTTTGTCTTCACTGGTATATATCTCAATTTAATTAACAACTCCCTGCTCTCGCTAACGTTTACAAATTAAATAATAGCGTTAATTACTTTACTTGTATTATTCGAAAAGAGTAGGTTGTTCCCCCGGTGTACTGGTCCATTTCAGCCCAGTGTCCGGCCACAGACGGAGCGTTTACGTCGCGGCCCATGTCAGGTATCCTACCTGCGAATCCTTCTACCACACTACGTAAGCAAGATCATACACACTTGCTACGTACGGTAGTTGTAGCAAATTGTATTTTTCTTTAGTTAAGTTCTTACATTTGTCTAGCTTTAAGTAGTTGTTTTCCTCTTCATTCCTTAGTTATATGTATTGTGTAATGTCAAATAAATATTATTATTATTATTATTATTATTATTATTATTAATATTATTAATATTATTAATATTATTATTATTATTATTGTTATTATTATTATTAATATTATTATTAGTGACTGACGCGAGAAGAAGACTTGTATCATGACTTTTACACATTGACCTAGTTATGTGTGCAGACGAGTACTAGTACTGTACCCGCATTATTACATGTCTGTCTTCAACACTAAAGTAGTTCCATATGCAGTAAGTCAATTCTATTTCATAATTTTATTGATTCGTTGAATGAGTTTTTGATAGCTGCATTCACTAAAAATCTTGCTAATCATGATGATTTAGCACAGTTTGTCTAAACTGACTCTTCGGATAACATTGTTGGACAAAATATCATTTAGATTCCGAATTGTTAACCGTAAGTTAAGATTTTCGTGTGAGGTATTTAAGTTGAAAATGCACAGACATAATGTGTAATATTAATTCACGCAAAAGCAACATTTCTTTTTAGAACTATCTACGTGGTGTACTGCAAGCATTGTCATGGTATTAAATTGATTTTCCAAGTCCGTAAGTCTAATTCCGTCTCTTTTATGACTTTGGTGACCTATTATTGATCGTCTCTTTTGAAGTACCTATACACAGCCTCTAAGAACTACGACAATTGTTTATTCTCACGTCGTTATAGGTTCAACTTAGTTTTAAATAATTCATACGTTGATCAACACGTCGTAACAGCTAGGCTTATACACCGTAGGCCTACCCGGAATTCTTGGATTTATTTATCACCAAAATTTCAAATCAGTGGCCTGGTAAGTAGAAATATAGACTATTCAAAAATACTAATTACTAGGCCTATTTCAAATTTGTACCACCAATGTTAAGAAATTTCAGATGTATTTTCTCAATTCAAATTTAGAAATGTTCCGCTTAATGAAAATTTCACCTGTCAATCCTCTATGAGTCTATAACAGGAGCCACAGGGGAGGTGCTGGGACAACTCCATCACTTCTTGAGCCATGATCAAATTCTTCTCAGAAGACTTCAAAAGTCGAGCCAAAAACATGCACCGAAACAGAATGACCCGAGTATTCGGAACAGCTAAAACTATTCGGTTTTAAGATTTAAAATACACATATATATTAATCATTTTCTCATCAAAAGAATCTAGACAAAATGTGGAAAACTAATATTTAAAATGCAAATAATAGTATTTACTTTTCATATTCACTAATTGTTAAGAGGGCAAAAATAAGTAATAAAGATATTAAAGACATAATCAAAAATTTACTTAAGATAATTGTAACATGATGTTAATGTAAATCAAAGACTCAGGTATTGTGGTTCTTAGGAATTATTTTTCTGTCCGTTAATTGACAGAGAAAATTATTTTGACCTAAATATACAAATTAAGCAATTCAAAAAATAGAATAAAATTGTTCATAATTTTACCCCTAACATTTTTTTCATATTTATACCTCATACATTTATCCCCCATATTTACCCCTCACGGTTCCCCCAAAACAAGTCAGCCATTCCGAACATTTAATACCAGCATTAACTAACATTGTATTGTTTGTTTATTGCAATACGTCCAATGGCTTTATTTATTTTACACAATGTAAACAAATAGATATGGCATTTAACTCTACACTTCACATATTTTCTAGTACAAAAGTCATAAGATGATTGTCAAGAACAACAAAAATTGTCAAGAAAAAAAAAAATAAAACTTTAGAGTTACTAATTTTGTCTTCACAATTGCATGTATGTTAATCAGTTTTAATATTTAAAAGGCAATAGACCTATCAATTATCTCCTCTAAACAGATTGTGAAAAGTTATATTTAAAATGCAAATACTAGTATTTACTTGTCACGATCACTAATTGAATTGTTGAGTGGAAAAAAGTAAGTAATTTTGTCCTCACAATTGCATGTATGTTAATCAGTTTTACGATTTAAAAGGCAAGAGACCTATCAATTATCTCCTCTAAACAGATTGTGAAAAGTTATATTTAAAATGCAAATACTAGTATTTACTTGTCACGATCACTACCGGTAATTGATTTGTTGAGTGGGAAAAAGTAAGTAAATGCATTAAAGATATAATGTTAATCAAAAAGTTACTTAAAAATAATTGCAACATAATATGAAGAACAACTTACTCAGGTGTTATGGTTCTTATAGAATTTACTCCGTTAATTGACAAAGAAAATTAATTTTTCTCATTCAATATTTTTTAATAACTGACCTAAATATACAAAATAAACAATTTAATAATAGGAATAAACGTCCATATTTACCAATCATATTTTTTCATATCTACCGCTCATATTTACCCCTCACGGTTCCCCAAAACAAGTCAACTATTCCAAATGTTTAATACCAGCATTAACTAACACTGTATTGTTTGTTTATTTTAAAACGTCCAATGACTTTATTAGTTATCATACACAATGTAAACAAACAGATGGCACTTAACTCTACACTTAACACATTTTCTAGTACAAAATTCATAAGATGATCGCTAAGACCAACGATACTAGAAACACAAGATAGACTTCTCCACAGAAAAAAGTGTTCCACCGAAATGCATGGTAGGAATACAAACAATGGGGCGCCCCGTACGGCTAGATCTAAAAAGCGTCTACCAAACTTTCGTTACCAAGTCGTCGCGTATTTATTTGTCAATTCTCAATTAAAAAATTGTACACAATTGTACAGTTAGTACAATTGTACCCAGACAGTGACAACGGTGAATACATAATTATTCCTTTGCGGAGGTAGAAATCTTTGCTATTATCCAAATAAAACACACAATTAAGCCTATGGATCAGTATAGAAAACAACCATAGCGCAGAATCGTATGGCCAGACACACTCCAGTGATGAAGTTTTCCTCCATTAGTGGAAAAAGAAGGGCGCCATGTGCGTCTGGATATACTTCAAAGATCTTATAAACACAAGATAGCGTTCTCCGGGATGCGACTTTTTTTTCCGTACGAAACATTTGCATGAAACTTCACTCGGGCCATCTCGGATTGACTCGAGTGAGTACGATACGAGGAACAAGAGAAGACACTTCGCAATGTCGTGACGCTCGAGTTTTACTATTATTGCTCTTTCTATGTTTACCTACGGTAGGCCTATGAAATTTCACGGACTTAAGTGATGTACGTCACTGTGTAACTACTGTCTCTTATACACATCTAGATGTGTATAAGAGACAGACAACACACAAAACCCCTAAAGATA